CATAACGTTAAAGAATTTAACCGGTGGAAGCAATGGCGGAGTACATATCACTGACGTTACAAACGCCTCTCGTACTATGTTCATGGACCTTAATACTTTAGAATGGAGTCAAACCATTCTTGACTTTTTTAATGTTAAGAAAAATTGTCTTCCTAAGATATGCTCATCTTCCGAAGTCTATTGTCACATTAAAATAAGAGATAGTGAAATTCCAATCGCTGGAATTTTGGGTGATCAACAAGCTGCTTTAGTAGGTCAAAAATGTTTTAAAAGTGGTGAAGCTAAAAACACTTATGGTACTGGTTGTTTTATGTTATTTAATACCGGTACTACCCCTTTTTTTTCAAAATCCGGTCTACTCACAACCGTTGGATACAAATTTGGAAATAATCCACCTGTTTATGCTCTAGAAGGCTCCATAGCTGTCGCTGGTTCTGCTATTCAATGGCTTCGTAATAATTTAGGCATTATTAAAGAATCTAAAGAGATTAATGACCTTGCTGCTTTAACCCCAGATGTTGGTGGTGTATATTTTGTTACTGCTTTTTCTGGTCTTTACGCTCCTTATTGGCGTGATGATGCTCGAGGGTGTATAGTTGGGATTACTCAATATACGAAAAAAGAACATATTGCTCGTGCAACTCTTGAAGCTACTTGCTTCCAAACTCGTGCTATTTTGGAAGCTATGAATAGTGATTCTAATCATCCTTTAACTTACCTAAAGGTTGATGGTGGTATGACTTCTTCGGATTTGTGCATGCAAATCCAAGCTGACATTCTTGGAATAAATGTAGACCGTCCAGCAATGAGGGAAACAACTGCATTGGGTGCAGCTATTGCTGCTGGCCTTGCTGTTGGCGTTTGGAAATTAAGTGATCTGGATAAAGTTAATAGCGATGGTAATGATATTTTTAAACCTCAAGTCTCTCGAGAAAATGCTGCACAGAGATATCAACTTTGGCAAAAAGCTGTTGAGAGAAGTTTTGGTTGGGCATAATCAATTAAATTAGTAATTTCATTATAGCATTATGATTAGAACAATAATAAATTTGGATTTTATTAATATATTTTTATTTAGGCCATGCAAAGTAAATTAGTCGCCTCTCGTTGCTTGGAACGGGAAAATAGACCGGCAAAAAAAATGTTATACTGTACTTAAAATTAATGTCGCGGATTATCGTGAAATCGAATCATCGTGAAATTTGAGGGTCTCAATTTGAAAATATAAACCCTACCAAATTCCACCTAGACTCTTTTATTAATAACTCTAACCTTAAATCCAACTTAACTATAAAAAAAGCCACATAAAATAGATCCAAATTTCACAATCCGCGACAATTAATATAAAAAATTTTTATAATTTTTTATGCGATAAAAAATTTTTATTTTTTATAAAAGGTTATCCGACGGGTAACGAGAACCAATTTTACTTGTTTGTTTGCATGGACTTAGTTATGTAATTGTGTACAAGAAATTAGATAAAAAATGATAAAAATTATAAATTTATACTAAAATCAATATAACCTCTACATATATTGTTTGGGGTCCTGTGACACTTGTCAGCATCTTATGAAATGCTTCACATTCCGAATGTATCACTAGCTAGGACACCTTGCATAAAATGTTGTATTAAAAATATTTAGTAAATTTAATTCTAAATACAATTAATTATTTCTTAAACGAACTACATATTTACATAACCATTTAATAACAATCAAAATCTAAACGAAATAAAGCACAATTAAAAATATCTTCAACAAATTTCAAAAGTGAATATACAATATATTACAGTAATAAATAATACAAATTATTAAACAAGAAAAGTTAAACATTTATGACCACAACCAGTTGGACATTCTTCATTACAACTAAACCAATCTTGCATATGAGAATGATGACCTCCGTGACTACAACCTTGACACCAAGTATATAATCCTTTTACCGTAATATGGCTATTGATTAACATATCAAAAATAAATATAAATAACTTATAGTAATCAAAATCAAGATAAGTAAATAAAACTAACCATAAAGAGCATAGATTTAGCCTTTTGCATTTTGCACACAACCAAGATTCATTTTTTGCATCATTTATGAACTTAAAACAATTGTTACATGTCGTATAAATCGTTGTGGAGTTCTTTTGAAAATAAGTAAAATTAATCAAATGTATTGGAATAAAAATGTTAAAGAAAATAAAAAAAAAAAACAACAAAAAAACCTGATTTAATATTCCAACATCCGTATTATTACAATATTTTATCACAGAAGTAGCAGCACACCAAAGTTGAAACCGGTGCAAAAGGTCTGTGAAATTAATATAATTAACACAAGAATGATAATTTTTTAATGCAGTATGAAATATAAACAGTCTTACCAACATATGAATAAAACCACTGTTTTGCTCTTTCTTCATTTATCTTGAGTTTATCTCCAAGAACCAAAATCAAAGTAACACACATTTGCACATCACCCTAATGAAAATGAATTACTGTTAGATACTATCTTTCTTGTCCAATTTCTCTCAATAATTTCATTCGTCCGAACCTGTTCTGCATAATAATCAAGTAGTTGTGCCATCATTGGTTCTTTATCCCATGAAGGGGCCTTAAACTCTGATCTAACAATTGTATTAGTAGTTGGAGCCGGGGTTTGTTCACGTTTAAGACAAGATTTGTCCTCAGTATCATCGTCAGAAGGTGGATCACTATCCGAATAAGACGAATCTTCATCCTTTAAAATAATTAAATTTAAGCAATAAAGGAAATAATTGAACTCTTTCTAATATATAAGCATCCTCCTTACAATATCAGCTGCGGGATTTATAGGTTTATCTACGATGCTGTTATGATCCTTTAAAGAATCAGTATCTTTCGCTTCGCTTGGTGATTTGGAATGATTAGCTGATGATAAATCTTTCAAAGAAGATTCTTCCGACCCTTCCTTATCTGAAGTACATTAAATTTGTGGGCAAATACGAACAAAAAAAGAATTTTAAACAGCAAGTTACAAACCTTTGTTAGATTCTGTCTTGTTCACTTCAGATGGTGTTTTCTTCCCGTATAATAATTGAACAACTTTCCACGTCTGGGCAGTTCGGTATCTTTGAACATCCCAGGCAATCTACAAAAACAGTTACACTAAAATCGTGAATTCAAAAAATGAATAAATAAATCAATAGGCAACCTATCAATTTTACGCTTTATCTACCTTTGCATTATGGTCGCACATAGTCCAAATATCCGAACCAGATGAAATATAATTTATAGCAAGATATGAAAAAGATTTGGGGTCAAACGTTGGAAGTGATATAGAACCAGTTTTTTGTTGTAATTGATGGTGATCCTTTCAAAAATAGATGAAAAAATTCGGACCATGAAGTAATATAGATAATAATAATAGGATATAAATCAAATAAATATTAACTTCACTACGAGGTTCGATAACACTAGGATAAGATTTCTTTTGCATTATATGAAACTGACTACTCGATGGCATTGATCTATTTCTATAAATTTTAAAACATTATAGCTTTGCAATTATCATTCACTTCTTATTACAAATTAATTTGCCAAAGTTACTTACTGATCTTCCGAATGTGATTCGTTGGATTTCTCAATAGCAAACGCAATCTGATCATAGACACTCCAACCAATTGCACATTTACTTAGCAAATCTAATTGACGGTAAGAATCCCTAATGTCTTGCTGAATGAAAAATTTATCCTTGGAACAAGACCAAAGTACATCAGATTCTCGCCATAAAAATCCTAGTTAAGATGTAAAAAAAAATAATACTTGATATATATATATATCTATATATCAGATAGAATTTCATAATGGTTTTTATGGTTACCAGTTGGAACATCCACGTGCTCTTCAAAGAAGTAACTTGCAATATAAGGTCTCTTTATATTCCACACAAAAATTCGATGATTATCGCCTTGTAACGAACAAGAAGCAATTTCTGATGGATTATTAGGCCGCCATTGGACACGTGCTACACTGGACATACTATAAATCGTCTCCTTTGGTTTCATACCATATGTACTCATATCCCATATCTGTCAAATGAGGAAGATGAGTATTTGATTTATGAAATTGATCAGATACGATCATTTCATACTTTAATAGTTTTATCTCGTCCACCACTAGCAATCGTTCTCCCATCAGAATGCCAGTCAATTGCAAGAACTGGTCCTACATGTGCATTAATTCTGCGTTCACAGATATTTGGTTTTTTTAGGTCCCATTTCTTTATAAGCATAATATACAAGATTTTATCATTATTCACTGAAAATCAATAATAGTATAACAATTATTTAATATTTATAATTATTATACCTGAATTATTCCGTTTTCAAATGCGGAGATAAATTCATATATAGATCCTGAATTAAATTGCACATCACGAACACTTTCTGATCTGCCGTCAAATACGACAGGTTTTGAGTTCGGGTCCCTCAGATCCTATAAAATAACATCAATATGTTAATGCCAAACATTCTAACAACCTCTTAATACAATAGTGACCATAAAGACTAACCCATAATTTAATTGTACCATCATGCGACGCGCTTAAGAGGGAATCACCTTGTCTTGGACTAAAACATATTCTATTCACAGCACGATTGTGAGCATTTATTTTTAGTTCTGAAATTTAAAGTTACATTTAGGTTTATGGTAGGAAAATAAAATTACCTAAATTACAAATAAATATTAGTTAATGTATATACCATCCCTAGGTTGACCATTTCCTACATCCCAAATAGAAATTGAACCAGTTGTCGCAGCGGTTGCTACTTTATTCTTTGTGACTAAAATGTGACCAGTATAATCATTTCAATTCCTGTATCAAGTGAAATATTATATAAACTAACGGATATAAAAAATAAAATAGGTTCACCAGATGTACTATATCTTAGGCGAAAACCGCAACTTACAAGCGTTACCCCACTTAACATCAGTAATATTACTATTTCTACTGCCATGTCTAACAATAAGATTGTATTCCTCGGTAATTTCTCGTTCAGACACATTTAAAATTTTCAGTACTATATATCCAACATAGATAAGCACAAATCATTGGGAGAAACGTGGAAGTAAGTTCAATTATTTTGAATTACCAGAACTACCCGCCACAATAACATGATTTAGATCCGGTGAAGCTGATAAAGCAGTTAAAGGATTGTTGAGCTGGTATTTCATTACATGATGCCCTATATCGCGTCGTCCCCCCATTTGTGGCGTTTTTGTGGTATTACTTCCGGAGGAAATGGTAAAATCAGACAGATTACTTGAA